ATATATATATATATATGTTTGATGATAAAAAAAACTATTTTCGTCGATCTGTTTGAATAAAGTACGTTGAAATAAAAATATTTATTATTAACTATGACTAGCTGGTTTACACGTATGATTGATATGCAACAATGGACAGCTGCATGAAATTCTACAAGAGATCTATATGTTTTACAAGGCGATTGTGATACATTTGATAATTCATCTACGAAACAATCTTTTAAAAGTATTATTTATAATCGATTATGTCAGATTGCATCTGAAGAATACACAAATGTACATGAATATTGGAATGGAGGTATAACTGATGCAAGTGTATAATTGTATATATGCACAGAACTATAAAAAAACAAAGACCAATATAAATGATATTGTAAACTTTATATTAAGAATAATTCTATATCTTTTTCTTTTAAATATTCTATAAAAAACTAAAATAAAGTAATTGTAATTTATGTATATACTAATCTCAGTTTTCACCATAAAATAAATATCATTAAAGTGACTTTTACTGTATCAATAGCTTCAAGGTTTCTAGCTAATAAGTGAAATAAATTATATTTCGAGAAAAAACCTATATTTATGTGTAGAGTATTGTCAAAAAATATGATAATAAATGAACTAATTTGCAACAAAGTATGTTCATATAAAGCTTGACTTAATGAATAAATATCACAAACAATAATTTTGTCGTTATCTTTTATCGTAAAATAAATTTTATAATGAGCAAAATCAGCTTATATCACACCACAATGAGATTTGACAACAACATGTTCTACTTGAATAATTTCAGACAACAAATATTCTTCTTCTATCCCTTCAAAGCAATAATATGTTTTGGTTGAATACGCAGCATACTCTGACCACTAATTCTTTTCTTTCCTTTGAAACACACTAGGTTCTGGTTGAATACACAGTATGTTTTAGCTACGAATGCATTTCTTCCTTTGCAACAACACTGGGTTCTGGTTGAATGAGCGCCTTTGCTAACTGATTATATAAATCACAATCGATTTTCTATCAATTGGCAATTAGTTCCATATTCTCTCTCAACAGCAAACAACAGCAAATAAATGCGTTCATCTACTATAATAGTTGTGGCTTTGGCTCTCATTGCAATTGTTTCGAAGCATTCGGCAGTCGCAAAACCTAGTTCGTACAAAGAATTGCGTCGACAATATCATGACGACAATTATGACAAGAAGAATCAATACAAAATGTTCTTACGACATGTTTTGCAGAAACTAGATATTGACGATCTTCGCACTACGATGCGAGACACTACCGATTCAGGTAAGAGCTTATGTTAACTTGTTCAACATTGTGAATTGAAAACTATCCAAATTAAGGTAATACTTAGAGCTTATATCCTGACTATCGGTGGGAAATCACTGAACGAACACAGCTTGTAAAGAATTCTTTTTCTTAATCTATTATTACATTTTCTAAGAGAATGATTTAGTGATGATTTTGAACAAAAACTCATTTATTACAATAAACATGTAGGACTGGTGTAGGTATGAGTAAAGATAAGGATATCACACACATCTGCACGTACATGCACACCCCACTCTGATATGGATGTGAATTCATCTGATGAGAGTCAATGACAGTAGAAGACTGGAAGATACTCAAGTAAAAGTTGGTTGAATGGAGGATGTAAGCAGTTACTAGTCCGCGATTTTGATCAATTCATGGCGAAACACTGAGAAGAGCATCACAGAGACGAACTAAAGATCAAACTTCTGTTTGCAATAGCTAACGTCTAAAAAGACCGAAAGAGAAATGGATTATTTTCTAACGTCTTCTAAATGAACCAATCAAGTCTTTCAAATACACACTGCTGGTATATTGATATCGTCGCAGCCGATATCATCAATAAAACTTGTGGTAGTGTAGAACGGGGTACTAACTATTGTTTGATGTAAAACAATATTCCGCCTACGAGAACGAACATAAAAAGCAGAAATTAATGCGAAAATATATCTTTATCTATTCAGTATTTGAGTAAATATCGCTGATTTTCTTACGATCAATGCAACCATTCGCTTCATTTTTATGATTTTATATTTATTGAAAGAAATGTTGTTTATTACTCATAAATGCCTGGTTTTAAGTCAAATATTTCTGCTCTGAAACTGGAAATATCATTTTGAGATAAGCACAAAACTTTGAAAACAAAAACAGTTAATTCGCTTAGGATAGAATAGAAGTTTTTATGCGAATCAGTTTCTTCTGTTTTTGAGAACTTTTTATTCTGCTCCTTATGAATGAGAAAGCATTATTAAGCTTTGAATTTCGAGTTTATATGTGGGACTAATTTAGTTTTGATCTAATAATCAAATTTCTCTGATTGTATGTTTTAGCTCCACCAGCGTGCAATGCTACTACTTGTTGTGCCACGATTTCTTGCATTCCTTGTAATGATAATGGTACTACTCGTTCTTGTTACGGTACTGCTGGTTATTATGGTGGTTTTATGTATGGCGTTTATTCTGATCCTAATTGTCTTAGTAATGAGGTTTATTATAAGTGTCCTTCTGATGTGTGTAAGTTCTTTTGAAAGCGCACGTTGTTCTATAGGATAGTTGGTTTTATGTGTGTTTCTATGTGTAGGTTTATGTCAAAATGGTGGAACATGTGACGGTTCTGGTGATATCTGCCAGTGTAAAAGTGGCTGGGTTGGCAAAACATGTTCAGGTACGTAATCATTTTTGTTTGAGGTGGAGATTGACTGATGGAAAAAGATGAAGCTTTCTATGTAGTGTGGAAGTTAGAATAAATTTTTGAAAAGGTAAACGTTGAGGAAATTGAGAAAAAGTTAAAATGATTAGAACTGATGTTATCAGTTTGAATCATGATTATAACTTTAAACTATGGTTATAATTTCTGACCCTGACGAAATTGATCAAGTGCATATGATCATTAGTGAAGAGTGCTTCGTAAGTAAAGACTATACAACAGAAGAGTGGTAGTCTAATCACTCAACATTTTCAAAAGCGAAATACTTGTTGTTGAAACTAATATATGAAAGTTCACTAGTAAAAGAACTGAGCAATAGGCAAAAGAACAGCAGATAGGGAAAAAGCGAGAATTCATCTACTTCAAAATGTTTTTGAAGTACAGTGAAGTACGTACTCCTGGAGTCTCGCTTTTTCCCACGTGAAAAACAGCCCTAGAGTTAAAATGATTACAAGGGTAGTTATAACTTTCAACCACGGTTATAACCAAAATATCTTTTCGACCAAAAAGTTGATTATTCATAACTTAATTTATAACTCAGCCCTTTTTAATTCCCACTCTGTTAAGAATGATCCTTCTGATTCCAAAACCGAAGTATTCTATACTGAGTCAGTCAATGTTTGTCTATTGCTCTTTGGTTTCATGTAATATATGATAAAGTATGAAGATCTAAGTAAGCTTTAAGTGTCGAGTGTATATGCGGGACTAATTTAGTCTTGATCTAATAATCAAATTTCTCTTACTGTATATTTTAGATATAGCACCGTGCAATGCTGCTCGATGTTGTGGCACGGATACTTGTATTTATTGTGATGATAGTTTTACTTATTGTGGTGGTTTTGATGATAATGATATTGGTGATGATCCTCGTACTCGTTCTCGTTTTGGTCTTGCTGAGCTTGGTGTTCATAATCGTTATTTTGGTGTTTTTAATTGTCCTTATGCGTGTTCTTTTGGTGCTGATGCTCTTCGTCTTGATCGTGTTCTCAATGCTAGTGCTTGTTAGAGACGCATTCGTGAGCTGTTGGCGGTTTGGTCTGACAACAAAAACTATTTCGAAAAATAAACTTTTTAGAGCCAAACAGACTCCAATAACTATTTCTTTTAATTTTTTTCATTAGTTTTTTATTAATACCTTCATTTCAAGTTTCTTTCTTGTATTTTTTTCGTACCTTTTTCCTAACCATAATTATAATAGAAGTTTTTTTAAACGAAAAAGAACAATTAAAATGAGTCAACTTAAATTTGAGGATGTAATGTTCATATGAAAAATAAAAATCAAGTTTTAAAGAACTTCTTAGACAGAGAAGGGCAAGTCAAGTCACTTTTGGACTTGACTTGAAACTAAGCCATAAACTTAAGTCAAGTCAAAAAGCATATATGAAGAGGTTTCAAAATATTTTTTTTGTGTATTTTATTAGTCTTATTACAGAATCAGAATGTAAAAGATAAATATAGTTAAAAACGAGAGTTTTGCTAAAAACTAACTCTAAGTAACCAGAAATTTGTATTCCAAAGTTTTATTCAATAGAAGGATTTTCTATAATAAGTTTTGACTTGAAATATATGTGACTTGACTGGACTTGACTTGAATTAGTTTCCGCGACAAATGACTTAACTTGACTTGTGAAAACGTCTGACTAGCCCATCTCTGTTCTTGGATGTACATTGATATATTTCTATCTTATAGAAAGTTCTGCGATCAATAGACTTTCACCTTTGCGTTAATAACTCACAACTAATCGTCCAAAAGATTAATATTTGATTAGATATGTGACAGAGACAGGTACTCTTGATCAATTGAAAACAAATGGACTTACTTCTTAGCAAAAAAAAGGAAAATTGAACCTGCTGGTTCTGACTGTGAGGTATTAGTGAAATATACTGTATCCCACTCTAATTCACTTCCAAGCAAACTTCCACAAGAAAGTGAATAATTAAAAATAATAAACCAACTAAATTTTTGAAATAATAATGTAGAAGATGAACAATTTATAGTAAAAAGAGAAAGATTATTTCTTTAAAAAGCTAATTCTGGACTATCAACAATGCATATTGATGTGTACAATAATTCTCTAGATATTCTGTAAGTATATAATATTTTAAATTTATGAGTTATCGTAGGTTTCACGACCCTTCTTTTTAATCAAAGTAATCTTTAGCCTTCTAGAATTTATAGGCCAAAATATATTGAAGTGTTTCATTATCTCTAATTAATTTCTTTTACTCATAGGACAATCTTATTCAATAGCTCAGTAACTATAGATTGTAACAGGAGTTAATCGTCTGAGAATGTTCAGAGTGACTTGACAGAAATAATTTAAAGCAGAATCATACGACATGTTTCAATAGCTGCTTTGATTACCGTGGGTGTGGGTGTGGATGAGTGTGATTCTACGTATTATTTCTATACCTACCAACGCCCACGCTCACTCTCAAATTCTAATACATGCACCACGATAAAAGTAGTACGTTATGTTTTATTTTTCAATCAAAAGACATGATTTTCTTTTGAAAAAAGAATAAAAACAAATGATTGTTATATTTTTTAATCACACTGTCAGTTAACAAGAATAGACGATATTTTCTTATATGGTTTTGTAGAATATTAAAGAGAGAATGCTCTAAAACTAAGTTCAATGATTGTATAACAAAATCTAATCAAGATAAATATAAGTTAGGAATGTTCACTTATTTTTAGCCCATTGTCGTGAGTTTTCAAATAGTATGTGTATAAGCTTCTGCTTTTTCCTCACATAAGAGGCCATTGTTGGATCCATTTTTGCAATTTCACTTTTCAAATTTCCATATCTCTCTCGATCTATTTGATTTTCCGTTAAATATTGAGAAAAGTGAATAGTGTCTCGAAGCCATTGATGCGACGGCGGTAATACTACATGAAGATCAAATCCGTGACCTTTCGAATCAATTTGATCTTTTGGTGTTATATTAAAAAACCAGTGATCTTGACAGGATATTGAATGTAGAGCAGCTCCAACATATTTATATCCAGCTTTTTCTAAATCTTCGCGTAAATTTACAGGAAGATATTTTGTTGTTATGGCAATCGCTACATCATGCATTGGTTTAGCTAATGCAATTTTTTCAATCGAAGTTGAACCAATATGAACAAGACCATCTGGTGAAAGTTCTTTATGAAAAATATGTTTCCATTCTGATGAAATTATTTTATTTAAACGAGATTTTTCATTTTCAAATTCTTCTTTCCATTTTGGTGTCCATGGTTTAAGAACAACTTTATCATTTCCTAGTAGCTTCTGTAGATTAACAGATGTTACAAATAATAAACGCCTTTCATATAAAGTCCAGATTATTATTATAAAACAATATAAGACAATTATATAAATAGCATACTTTCCCAAACCAAATAAAACAATTAAACTATATAAAAATAATATAAATATAACATGACATATCATTCGTGTTTTCGAATGATGCATAAAACCAAGTGCAACGAAAAATGATAAAATCCAAATTTTAATTAATTTCAAATCCATTTTAATCTACTAATCTATCTAAAATAATATAATCAAATGATTTTCGAAAAAGAATTCCAACATAATGTTAAACACTTCTAATAAAATAACTTCCCTAATAAATATGCATCTGATAATACTTGATCAAATACTAAAGTTCACCGTAGATATTCACTTTACATAATAGTATACTTCTTTTTGCAACAATGACAAAAAATGTGTGAGATGCTTTTGTAGTCGTTCTTATCAATAACGAAAAAAAAGATTGCTTGTTCTTTATTAAATAGTTCTTTTATATGTAAGAATTATTTGATATAGAACGCAAAAGAAACGATTCTTGTATACTTTGTTTTTTATCGTCGTTGCACAACATAATGACATGAAATTGGAACACATAATGTTCAATACATAACTATAGTGAGCATAGCACCATCTTGATGAAAAATCGATATGAATTCTTTCAACGAATTCTGATTCTATGTAAGATAATTTAGAATGTGCAATAAAGGCATAGATATGAATGTGCATTGAATATAATATCTACACTCATCCTGCTCGTTAGTGATCTAACCCGAGTACTTATAAATGCAAATACCACAGCGCTATTCTAATTCTGTATATTTCCCAAAAAGTTATTCTTTTCATGCTGTTTTATATTCATCTTGTCTGCGAGACGCGATCTCATTTTTGAGGTGTTAAGTCCCACAGTATCGACACACATTATCCATTATACCGATGTAACTGTGCTCTCAATATTTCGAAACTAAATACATTCTAATTAAAACGGTAAGAATCAATAAAATATATTCATGATTCATAATTTTAGGTTTTAACTTCCGTTCTAGGAAAATACCAGATTGCGTCAAGATGAATATACATGTTATTCACAGATATTAGTATGCAAGACTATTTCGAAATATAACCGTCATGATTGTATATGTGGCATTGTGTACACGTGTCAAGACATAACATGTCAATAAATATTTCATTCTCTTGCTTTACTACGATAACTTGATTTAGCGATCGAAAGAAAAAAAAACAAATACAAAATATATCAATGATGACTAATTTCCAGTTATTTTCATTTGACAATACGAAACCAATCATTGCGCTTGATTGCGATGGTGTTCTTCTTGACTATCAAGCAACATTTCCACGAATCTATAAGAAGACTTTTGGAAAACAATTGACTCCTATCTCACCAAAATCATATCATGTGAGTAACGTATAAGTATAAATCATTATTTTACTTACCTATTTTCTCTCTCACTAGGCTACTACCAGATATGGTGTCACACTTACGCCTGAAGAAAGAATTCAATTTGATGCAATTTGGGATATCGATGGATGGCGGACAATGGTCATGCATGATGGTGCTCTTGAAGCTTGTCAGTTATTACATACAGCTGGTTATGAATTAGTATGTGTTACACAATTAAGTTCTTGTTTTCTTGAACATCGTTTGGAAAATTTTCGATTACATGGTTTTCCTATTGATAGAATTATTAGTACAAGATGTGACGAAAACAATTCTACCAATAATCCAAAGAAACAAGCTATTGAACAATTACAGCCATTGATTTTTGTTGATGATAAAACAAGAAATTTCAAAGATATCGAAGGTGTGCAAACTAAATTTGTATTTATTGATCATGAATTCTATGATGATCCACATCGTAATGAAAATATACATTATGATGCTAAATATTCAAGTCTCTTGGAATTTACTAAAGATTTCTTGAGAGATGAAGTTATCTGGTCGAACAGATTAGATAATTAAATCTTATAAAAGTATATTTTGTTTTTTATTGATCCCAAGACTAAAAGGCAATAACCACATTCACCTCTACTCATGTAAAACCTTCTCATGAAAATAGACTAAACCTCATAAGTATACGTCAATGTCAATAAAATAAGAAAAATTAATTTTCAAATTATAGTTCGTGAAAATTCACTTCAGTTGCAGTTGTAATTGCTAAAATATTTGAACCAAACAGATGAATATTTACAGGCTGTGGATAATAAGTATATGTTTCCTTTACCGATCCATCTGTTGAAATCAATGCTAAATTGTTTTTATTCATTATAATAAGGACCTCATCATGATTAACAAAGACACAAGTTTTTCCAAGATCACAGCTCATAGGAAGTCCCATATCTAATCGATAAGACCAAAGACAATCGAATGTATTTGATGATCTTAATTCTAGACGAGTTACAAGTTTTTTCTGAACGCAGTCCATTGACTCGCTAATTAATAGGGCTAGTTTACCATTATTATCCTGAATATCATAGATCCATTCTTCTGCAGAGCATGTAATCGGAGATTTCCATTCTTTAATGAGTTGTCTTAATGGTAAAAGATTGAATTCTATAATTGACGGACCTTTTTTACATCCAACATAGTCACTGCTTCTCCATTGGCCTTCCAATAAAAATAATTTTCTATTTAAACAAGCGCATTTTATACACTGTTGAGCTATATTTGTATGCATATATTCAATCGACATGGTTCTTTCATCAACGAGAAACAGACGACAATTCATTATCACAATGAAACGATCTAATGCCGATGACCAACACATATCTGTGATGATTGTTGCATTACATTTTTTCTGTTTAACTATTTTCAATGTTTTATCCACTAAATACAGCATTTTTTCTTCGCCTATCAACATGAATCTATCATTACTGGCTAGTTTTACACCATCTTGTTTTGCGAAAGTACTAATACTTTTAAATGCAAGAGGAAACGTAGATAGATCGAATTGATCTCTGTTCGATTCTCTAATACGAATAAGGTTGTTATCAATTGGTAAAGAATTAATGTCAATTTGTAAACATGTATTTTCAATGTCATTCATCTGTGTTTTGAGATCATGCATAATTTCTATCAATGGTTTAACATCTTCGTGCGTTGTTTGTTGTTCTCGAATTCTTTCAGTCACTTCAGATTTTAGTAGAGTAATATTATCTCGTTGTTTTTTTATTTTCTTGATCATACGTTGATCGAGTTCTTGACATTTGTCATCGTATAAATGATCGATCATTTTATGATAGTCGACACGCCATTTATCAAGTTTTTGACGACATTCTTGTATCGTTTGATGAGTATCGGTCGTTTCCAATCGAGCTTCAAGTGCATCGATCTCGTCAACTAGTAGATTAAGTTGAGAGATGGGTGAATCATGATGCTCTTCCAAATGACTTAGACATAGATTTTCCTTACAACAATGGCACACGGCAATCGATTCTCGTTTACACTTGGTAACAGCACAGTGTTGAAACATTACTAGACAACAATAACCTAATGATTCCTCACAAATATATGTAGAAGTATGCTATGAAAAAAAAGAAAAAAGAAATACATTTTCTTCATTCATATTATTCTTTTTCAACAAAAAAAAAATTATAACGAATTCAAATTGTAGAGCAATAACGCGGTGCAAAAAAAAAGAGGAATTAACAATGAATTGTGTGAATGTATTGAAAGACGTCTTTTAAAAGAATAGAAATACATCTAAAACATACTGTGTGGATTTTTTTATTTATTCTTTTGGATGTTGTCAACGATTGTTTTTGCTACTGTTTCGTTTTCTCTTCAGCAGCATTTTCAATAGTGACTAATTGAAATTGGTTTCTAAGTGTTAATAAAAGGGAGTGAAAAAAAAAGAGAGGGTGTATGTGTGAGTGTGGATGTAAGTAAAGACGAATACTCATGCCCACACCTTCTTGACGATTGGATGCATCTATAAAACTTTAGTTTCATTTTTATTAAGAAATCTTGGTTAATACATTGAGAGTGAATATGATCGAATACCAGAACAGGGAGGCCAAAGCCGACTGTCCTACCTATTCATAAATACTATGTTAGAGAATGACATCAGTAGTATAGTTATGACTCACCATCAAATGAAATAATGAGTCAAGAGTGACTTCATAATTATCGTCTCTCATCTTCTTTGACCACTAAAATATAAGACAGACTATAGGCAACATTACATACGAAATAAATATCCGTTACAATAGATTGTCCGATGACGCTCCACTTGGCGACATCTGTAATCGTACCACCATTTAGTGCTGTCACTTCTTTGAATAATCCGTGAATGTATCTCTCAACTTCAGCAACAGCGACATCATTGAAATTGCTTTCCTATAAATGTATTTATTATCAAAAATTAAATCATGTTTACAAAAAAAGGAAGAAATCAGTGTAAATAAGTAGAACATACCAAACTACCATTCGATGCAGCGAAATGTTTATTTCATTAAGGAAAAATCCTCGCCTGCCTAAAGATGAATTGAATGAGGAATTGTATTTTCAAAACAATTTTTCATACATATGTGTTCAAGTGCTGTACATCCAACAAGCCACACTCTACTTGTCATACTCACTAGCAATGCCGGTACAATCCCTGAATTGCTTCTATTGTTCGTCCCACATGTTCGCCATTGCATCTACATCATAATTAATTCAACAAATCTATAACTATACTCTAGCTCTTACCCAAGCCCCAGTTGTTCGTACTTAAATTCAAAAAGAACTTGTCCAACATATCTTGCTACATGATTATTAATGATAGTTTGTGCATTTGGTTGTATTTTTGACCACGGAATCTCTAGTGTTACACTACCAGCCATTTTTTACTACAAAAGTACTTATCTTTAACAACGACGTAAAGAAATTGTTCAAAGACCCAGCGGTTTCCGTAGATAAAGACAATCTTTGAGAGTTTTTAATTTCATCATACTATGAAACGTTTAAAATATCTTCGAACATTCACAAGTCTCTCGTTTCCACTTTAGAGTATAAAATATGCGCTCACAATAATCGCATAGAGATCTCTTCGCTGAAACATTTAGGAAGAAGGGTTTTGGATGCACGATTTGGAAGAGAAAAATCTAACAACTACTCATATGTAAAAATATTTTCACTTCGATACAAAAGTAGTCGAACACAACGCTAGGCCAGATAAGAAAACTTCTTCAAGTGGTTATTACAGATAAGTATTCTACGGTTCGTTCGCTTTGTTAAGATGATGAAAAACAATTTCTTCGTTTTTATGCGTTTAAACGCGTTTTTGAAAGTTTTTCTCTGCTTGGGTATATTTTCATCTATTACTAGAAACAGAGGATACAACTCTTAGAGGATGTCGGTGTGAGTATTCCTCTTTACTTACACCCACACACTCACTCTTACATTGGCAAGCATCCGGTTATTTGAATTTAAAAAATAAACACGTACAAAGAGCTTTGTATAATGAGAAAAATCCAGTTCTTCCATTAAAAATATTTTGCTAAAATTAAAATAATAATAGGATCAAAATGACGTCAATCATAGTTTATTTTTAAATATAATCTTGGATAATAGGCGGCATTCTTTTAATCTTCATTCTAATAACGTGGGAGAATAAGTGCCGTAAGCCTAACATCAAAAGATCAGTCTCTACTCCTCTCTGTTATTAACTACATCATGTCTTACTAATCTCTATTCTAAATTAAATAGAGAAAAAAATTTAATAACAGTCGTTAATAAGTACGCACTGATTATTATTGAATTAATCATAATGTCAACAGCATCGTTTACTTTCATAAGTAGTCAATTTAGTATTTATGTTGGTTTTTCAATATTTACTCTTGGTATATTTGGAAATCTAATTAATCTACGTCTGTTATTTCCTTTACGTAAAAATCCATCTTCATTTCTCTTATTTATTTCATCATTTTTTAATTTAATTGCTTTATCATTTGGTCTTCTTCCAAGAATATTATCCATAGGATTTGCTATTGACGCATCCTTAACTAATCTAATCTGGTGTAAAAGTCGTCTATTTTTCAGCTATAACGGCACTATTACTTCAATAATATGCATCTGTTTTGCTTCCATTGATAGATTTTTTGTTTCATGTCGTAGTGTGGTATGGCGTAATAGAAGCAATTTAAAAACTGCTAAACTAGTTATTCTTATAACCATTCCAATAATTATCGGAATAAACATCCCATATTTATTATTCTATACGATTGTTCAGACGAAAACTGACGCAGGCAATATAACTAGAAAATGTACTACCACGAATTCTGGTCTAATTCTTTACGGAAATTATTTTGTTCGACCTGTTTTAATTGGTTTATTACCTAGTACGATATTATGTATAACAGGTTGTCTTATATATCGTAACATAAATTCAATAGCTAGTATTCAATTACGTGGTACATTTCAACGAAATTTAACGTCAATGGTATTCATACAGATAATTACATTTATTATTCCAGTAATGCCGTTTGCTACGATAAATATTTATCAATTGTTAACATCATCAATTCAAAAATCATCGTATCGTTTAGCACAAGAAATGCTTGTTTCTGATACAACAAATATAATTTTATATATTAGTTATGCAGCAAATTTTTATGTATATCTAATTTCATCATCATCTTATCGTCGAGATTTTCTACAATTTATTCTATTTTGTTCTAATCAAAATCGTTCGAACAATCATGTCCATCCTCTACCTGGAGTACAATTTACCCTGAATCAAATGTCAACTATACAACAATTTCCACGAGTAACACATTAAACTCTTACTGACAGTATTAATCAAATGATTACCATTCTAATGACATAATAATAATATTCATACCTGTGAATTAGTAGTCTTCTTTTCACCGTCACATAAATCTGTTGTTTTTTAGAGAATTAAATTATTCATTTACATATTTCTTAATATTATTGTTGAAAGTATAACATCTATTTAAATTTTCATCTATGCTATAAGCTTTTTTAGGGATTGTTTATTTTACAAGGCCTTGCAATATATAAAATTAATTGTTACTATAGTAAGATAAACGAGAGTTAACGAGAATTGTTTCTCATCTAACAAAGTATAGATGTCACTTATGATTGTAAAATTTCTTTTCGAATCATCTATCTTCCACCGCCATCTTTTATTTTTTTACTGATTTGTTCTCGCTACACAACACTATGATAAACCATGGATAAATTAAGAGAATAATAGGAATCGAAAATTAAAATAGAAATGATAACTTGTATTGAACAGTTACCAATTGAATTATGGGTTGAAATATTTTCTTATCTAGAAGCCCATATTATTTTTCAAGGATTTACGAATTTAAATTATTATTTTAATCAAATATTAACTTCGAATTATATTTTATTTCATGCTCAATTAGGAGTAGTTGATTGTAATCCATTAGAATATTCTATTAAACCATATTGGTCAGAATCAATACTTAATCGTATAACTAATCTTCAACCAAAATTTCAACATCGGCTATGTCATATACCGGAATTTCTTTGTTGGCATTGTACAAAACTTATTCAATTAAAATCTTTAACAATTAAAATACGTGGACGAGAAATACGATCTATATGTTATGCATTAGAACAGTTAAACTCACTTGTTTATCTTTCTATTGAATGTGTACCAAATCAAATATTACTTGATGCTATTCTTGCTACATCTACTATACGTTCTTGTCGATTAGAATTTTTACGACCAGTAACACCAATTAATACTTATTCAAAAAATCTAAGTAATATAGAAATACTTCATATTAAATTACAAGATGATTCCTATGGTTCTATAATGAATTTATTATTGAGTCATATGCCAAAATTAAAAAGATTAGAAATGAATAATAATGATATTTATGTTAAAAATCGTGAATGGATATTTTTTCAATCATTATTTATTCTTCCAAGTCTTCGAAAATTTAAAGCACAATGGTCTTCAGATTATTCTGTTCCGATTGTTTTTCAAAATTTACATACAAATCTTACAAACATTCGATATTTCTCACTTCATATAAACTTTAATTTTATAAACGAAGAATTTTTCGATCATTTAATCTATCATTGGTGGCCAATTTTTAAAAACATCGAACAAGTTTATTTATTTATTAAATGTCATGGATTTTCATCTGAAACTGATAATAATGATACAAGAATATATTTAAACAGATTTCAGTCAATTATAAATGCTATGAATGAACAATATGTTAAAACTAAATGGAATGAAACAATATTTACAGGGACTAATATTGTGGATATCTCGATTTGTAAATCTTTTAAAAGTAATATTCTCTGAATTATTGTTGATCAGTGGACTTTTTCATGATAATAAATGTACAACATCGCTTAAAAAATTGTCTAATTAATTGATTAACTTCTTGATTCATAATAAATTGAAGAGCAGTTAACATAAATAATGATATTGTAATAGAGTTAAGACTTAATAAATAGAGTGGTTCCGGACCAGGTTTTTTTTGTGTTACATGCCATATGATAAGAAATAGATAGAGTGGTGCAGCAAGTGTGACAGTAGCTGTTTGAGCACTCATTTGTTTTATAAGTTTTATTTCACGTCTCCGTTTTTGAGTAGTATTAGGCGAATTTTCACGAATTGCTTGAACTCGACGAGTCGATCGACGAATATGAATTACTATTATAACAACAACGATTGCTATTATTCCATATGGAAACAAACATGAGATATTCGCCATACAAAATGCAAATACATACGTTTTAGTTGATAATATACAACTACGAGATTCAATTTCAAAACTATCATTAGCATCAATAAATATCAATGGTACACATACTATAAAAGCAATAATCCAGTTAATAATAATTAATATTCGATGCGTACGCCATGTAAGAAGAAATCGATGTTTATATAAGACACTAAAAAAAAGATGACTCATTGCTTGAATAGCTTTTGAATAACAAATTGCAGTAAGTGCAACAAGATAAAAATATGCACGTAAAACACAAGACGGTGCATTAATTGCTGTATCTTCGTGAAAACCATAAATAGATCCAATAATTATTACAATTGCATGGAATATAGTAGCAACAGAACTATTACACATAAAACTTTGATTAAATGTATGAAGTTGTCGATTTTTAAGAACAATTATAATTGTTATAAAACTAAGTATAATGTTCACTGTTAATATTACGATAGACAATGAAAAATTAATAATAAAGAAAAGATTGTCAAGCATTTTTCTGATATATTCAAATGTAATAGCTACGGAATTGGTGTTGCCCAAGACCAATTTTATAGCGCACTTAAAAAGAATATAAGATATTACAAAATGAACTAACAGGATTTGTTATTTAATTTTGTGAAAATGATGTTTATCGGTAATAAGTCGATGTTAATTGAAAAAATATTTCTAAAAAAGAAAGGCGTTTTTAATTATTTTTCTATGGCACAATAACTTCAAATTTTCTATAGAAAAAAAAAGATTCTCTTTGAGAGTATTTCAACTCATTAATATTCAATATAAGTTCCTACTTTGTACTTTGTACCTTGAGTTATTTTTATATTATCCATTTTAAGTACTTTCATATTCATAGATAGAATTAATTTGTAATTATTTCTAAAGAAATCATGATGCTTTTACTTTTTCACAAAAAATATTATGTCGCTATGTATGAATATCATTATTAATACATCACAATGTGTTCTAATTTTCAGCAATTAAAAATAAATGAGCACAGAAATAATTGGAAGCAGGGAGTAGTCAAGAGGAATATTCACACCGTTAATTCTAGTTGTGATTCATTGAGATCTAATATAACAAGTTGCGACATTTCGAAGTCTAGCAGCTTATTTTAAATGAACAATTGTGTATTTTTTACTATGTTCAATTAATAGATATAAGCACTGGTTTTTATTTAAAAAATATCATGAAAAAAACAATAATAATTGATAAAATACAGATTGGAAGCGTATAACTTTCTAAATCAGATTATCATATAAAAGAAAAAAATAAGATAATATTCGATGTCATCAATAAAATGAACAATAGAAACTATGTGTTTATCGTTGTTGTCAATGCCTACATTTAACATATGGCAAATAAGCAGAAGTAATTTTTTTTTTCATCGGACAAATGTGTTTACTGAGCTTGCAGATGAAGTCATTAGTTAATATCACCACTTTTTTTTCTTTCTCGTTTGTTAGTTGATAAGTATTTTAAAAAGAACAAAATTATCATACTTTTTTCTTTTATGAACATTCTAGTGGTGACTAATTCAATCTTCTAAAGAGTTAAAAGAAATGTAAAATGGCATAGTGTAGCTATGAATGTACTTTTTTTTTGAAAAAAAAACATTTGCTGGAAAACGTATGGCATTGTTTTCTTGAAATGATGAATTGTTAAATTAGAGAAAAAGAACGGTAGAAAATAATAGTAGAAAAAGTTTGTCAAACATTTATAAAAAATATTTTAGAAAGTAAAGAAGCAGAAAATGTTTTGGCTGATATTTGTTTTATCGTTATTTTCTGTTCGTAATTCTATTCTTATTACTAAAATAGAGAATAATATAATAGTTGGTGATATGTATAATACTTTATTCAATATAACACAAACTCAATGTATATGTGAAATGATAAAAGTAAATGATTCAATATCTGCTCTAAATTATTTTTCAACAAATCAAACTTGTCAATTATTTCGTACAAATATTACTTTAATTTTTCTTGAATATTATTCAAATTCTACTTTTATATTTCTTAATCAATCATCAATATCAATATTAAATATTCGAGAATATCGTAAGTTTATTTCAGATATGATTTGAAGTTTTTACGTTTTAAATTTAAAAAAAAACTCCCAAAAATTGAATCCGATTAGTGGAACGAAAAGTGCTAGATTCTTAACAAATCTTCATTCGCCATGTTAATCATACTTTTTTTTTGAAACAGCACCTAGTACGCCCTTATCAACACCGACAACAATATCATCATCATCAACAACAACAACATCATCAACAACAACAATATCATCAACAACAACAACAACAACATCATCAACAGCAACGTCAACAACAAGTGGTGAGTGTTGACTTAAATACCTAATGCTCATTTTTTTTCTTCGAAAGCGTGAGAATAACACTTTTCGTATTAGTTAGAGATGAAAAGTGATTTTTCTACCTTACAAAATAGTCGACAATGATATAATAAATATCAGGAGATAAAGTAACACAGGCAGAATTTAATATTTCGATCGAGTCTCTTCTTGAGGGCGTGAGTGTTATTTCTACTATCCCCACACCCACACCGACATCCTCATCTACACCCATCCACACCCTATACAATTTAATGATGAGATTTTGACTCTTCATTGCTCAAAATGCAAAAAAATAGTTTTTTGTTTTGATAGCCTTCAACTTTTTTCCTGATAATATTATTTATCCAGTTGGTTCTACTCCACGGTCGGTAGCAGTCATCGATGTGAATAACGACAATAAACCTGATATTGTTGTTGCCAACTTAGGTTCAAATAACGTCGGCGTTCTTCTCAACGTAGAGAATGGTACTTTTCTGAAACAAGTTACTTACTCAGTTGGCAATAGTCCATTTTCAGTAGCAGTCGTTGACGTGAATAGTGATAATGAACCCGATATTATTGCTGCAAATTTCGGTTCAAATACCATCAGTATACTTTTCAACGTGGGCAACGGCACCTTTCTGAATCAAACTACTTACTCAGTCGGCTCTTCTCCATACTCAGTAGCAGTCGTTGATGTCGATGGCAGCAATAAACCCGATATTATTGTTGCAAACTCTGGTTCAAATACTCTCAGCATTCTTCTCAACGCAGGCAACGGTATTTTTAATGCTCAAACTACTTACTCAGTTAGCTCTACACCATACTCAGTAACAGTCATCGATGTGAATAACGATAATAAACCAGATATTATTGTTGCAAACTATGGTTCAAATACCGTCGGTGTTCTTTTCAACGGAGGCAATGGCACCTTTCTACATCAAACTACTTACTCGGCTGGCACTGGCCCGATTTCAGTAGCAGCCGTTGATGTCAATGGTGACAATAACGCTGATGTTGTTGTTGCAAATTTCGGCTCAAATACTGTCGGTGTTTTTCTTAACGTAGGAAATGGCACCTTTTTACATCAAACTACTTACTCAGTTGGCTCTGGTCCACGGTCGGTAGCAGCCGTTGATATGAATAACGACAATAAACCAGATATTATTGTTGCAAACTCTGGTTCGAAAACCGTCAGTCTTCTTCTTAACATAGGAAATGGCACCTTCATGAATCAAGCTGCTTATCCAGTTGGTTCTTATCCATGCTCTCTAGTAGTCATCGATGTCAATAATGATAATGAACCAGATATTATTGTTGCCAACCGTGATTCGAACTCCATCAATGTTCTTTTACATTTTTAAGACTTATCGACCAACCAAACTTTATTTATTCATTGATATTTTTACTAATCTACTAAAAACATTGCTTTTACTATATATGATACAATGCGAATTGTTATTTATGTTTGCTTCATATTAAGAATCTTAATAAAACTTCTCGGTTATGAATATTGATGACAAATACATCAATATCCGTAACATTGAATAATAATTTCTTATTCTATAATACCATTCCTAATCATTAACTTTTCTAAATGCATAGAACTAAATATGTTGTGTTAACTGAGACTACAAAACATTCATTTTGAACCTGTAAAACAGTATGAAAAACGTTAAGAGAAATAAACTGCTGCTAATTAAAAGAGAGAAAAGTAGGATGTGGCTTTGGTGTCGGCGAGTGTGGGTATAGGCATGGATAAAGAGAAGACTAATTCACATATATATTTACGCCAACACTTCATCTCACATGTTCTTGAGGGTGTGGATGTATAGTCATCTTTTATTTACTCGCATCCATACCCACACCTTTTGGACGTAGGTTATCATTGATCTGTGAAACTGGCCAAAAGACCTGGTATATTCATTCTTTTCGGGGTATGCACTATCAATTCTCTCTTTTGTTCGAGCAAACAAGGAATAACTGTGAAGCCTTCCATGAGTACGTTGCTAGTCAAATCAAACAATTCTTTCAGAATACTCTAACGAAATTTAGTCAAGAGAATAAAGTTTAACATGCTTCCCTTTCATAGAGCTTGTTTTAAAACAGCGTTAATTGAAACTAAATTGAACGGATCTCTCATGGAGGCATCATCAATAAAAACTATTTCATTGATGGCGCAATTACATTTGACTGTTTCTGCATACAATACTGACACATTGTATATACATTAGTCATTTTCTTTTTCTTTTTTCCTTTCCTTATCATCTATGAAAACTGCAAATAATATTATTTCATAACTTTAACACAAACTTACATTATTACTCGTATAGAATGGAAAGGAAAAAAGGTCTTACTCAACCCTACACATCATCATTTGCAAAATCATCACAAACAATTGGTTGTCGATGCTTTGAAAAAATTCTGAAGTCCAACGAACTGCTATTAGTTTCTAGAGAAAAGAACGCTACTACGCCACCAGAAATTACTAGTGAGTGGTATATCTAATCAAATACTTTCAACACATTTCAGTATGTCTTCTGATCTCAAATTCAAAATCCTGCCAGTCTCCATACCCACAGACATTCCATCCATACTCCGCATAAACTATTATGTTACCGTCCAAGATCCTCTTCACAAAGCAAAAACATCCCTCGTCTCTGAATCAGAATATATCTCCTCAGGAATTCCCGGCGCCGAAAAGCAATTCACCGGTGAAAATGCCTTTCGTAACAGAATGGCAAAAATGGTGCTCAATAATCCTAACAAATCTGATGAAGACATGATGATAGTGTCATATATCGTATGGAAAACACCTTTACCAGCACAATCCGCCAAATCAGAGTCTGAATTAGCCGCTGCATTTGCACAAGAAATTGCAGAACTACAGGTATCAGAAGGAGTGGACAGAGATCTTGTCGTTCGCCTCAAGACGCAATATAGAGCCTTGAATAAAAAATATTTGGGTGAAGACTACGAAACCAGATATTGGGAGCTCGATGCACTCGCAACACTTCCAACATATCAACGTATGGGGCTTGGATCGAGACTTGTGAAATGGGGCCTTGATATGGTAGAAGCATCTATCAAGGCAAAACCTGGTGAGGTTGATGGCGCATATTTGGTTGCTAGTCCAGCGGGATCGAGTACTTATCGAAAAGCGGGTTTTTCGGAGGTTGGAGAGCAATTTGTGGAGGTGAATGGACAGGAACCTTACAGGCATTGTTGGTTTGTCAAACGATTTGAAAGTAATCAGCAAAATTCCGGGATGGATACTTAGACTTTGACTTCAATCATTCTTAAAAACTTCAAGAAGCAAAGTTAGGAGTTGTTAGCATCAATCAATAAATGATGCTACCTCATGACATCTTACTTCCTCTTTGATCTTTTCTTTTATTATTTTTTCGTTATTATTAATCTATACAATATAAAAAAAATTATTTTGAAATTAACAATATCAAATGTAAATCTCTTCGGCTTATAAAGTACGAAAAAGAATAATTTTCAAACTTAACAGTTATGGACTTGAATGTTCAGGAAAAAGTTATTGTACGAAATCAATTTTTGCCCTTGTTCATACTTTTTTCAATCATCACTTTATAATCCCTATCTGCTCTTGAAGGTGTGAGTGTAGATAGCTGTTATGATCCGCATCTTCTTTAGATATGATCATAAGGATTCTTCCAATTATCTATATGATTACTCGTTTCTATCATTTGTCATACATAGTGGATTTTTCCTTTCCTGTCACATGTATATACTTGTTAGCCTGTCTGTACGGCTACGAGAGAATAAATAAAATTGTATATGAGTATATCTCATAGACTTTATTTAATACAAGGAACTCGTATCCTTATCAAAGAAAATGAATGGTACATATACCAAAAAGAAAAAGAAGGAAAAAATGTAATATATGTTTACATTTTTGACTCAAAAAGAAAAAGAGAAGAAAACGGAAAAATGTGATTACGTATCACATTTTTAATAAAATATGCATAGAAAGAGTGATGACTTGAGTCATCGCTAACAATACTGTTTTTTTCCTTTTCTGTCACATGTATATACTGGCTTTTTCCTTTTTTGTTATATTTATATGCTGTTTTTTTTTCTTTTCTGTTATTATATATGTGACAAATTTTCTCTTTTTCGGTTTGTTTTTACTATTATCTTGTTACATGGATTTTTTATCATTATCTATGAGATTATCCAGCGTGTGGATTGTGGTTTGTAGCCATCGCACTGTTGGATAGGGAGGACATACATTAATAAACACTGTTGGGATTTACATCTGACAATATCACAACAAATTTTCATCCACACCTACACCCACCCTCTTATTAAACATTTGCTATGCAAGTGAAGGTCGCTATCAGTGCTGCCACCTTGTCTGCTTTTAGCAGACAAATTCTGCTTTTTGAAGATTTTTCTGCTTTTTGTCTGCCCTGTCTGTTTTTTTAAAAATTTTCTGCTTTTTTAAATATTAGGTTACTAATACCTATAATCAATAATTTTCATCTGAATGATCATTTTTCGAAATCTAAAAACAAAGTTTTACTAGCAATTACTCATATTACTATATTGTCCTATATCTACTTAAATCGTCTGTCTTTTGTTCTCTAATGGCTGATCGTTTTTCTTAATATTGTATATTTAAGTTCAATAACTCTAAGTATTTCTTAATCCATTATTTTTCTTTATTTTGGTTAATTAAGATTATAATTTAGTGTGCAATTTTGAGAAAACTACGTTTCGTACCACTTCGTCATTCCGAATTTCTGTACCAGGTGCTCGTTAGGAACTGCGCGAAAACGAAAAATAGTTAAAAAAAAACACATTATGGAGTTAGGGATGGCGATCGAAATTCAACTAAAAAAGCAGCATCTTCAGAATAAAATACGCTCGACAAATCGTAACTAACACCGAAAATATTCAAGAGTTATCCTTATTGATAAATAAACGTACGAGAAATCATTATGTTCGTAACGATCCCCTGTTAAACTCATTCATGAGCTGTCTGTCAACATCAATTTATATCTTCATGCTAAATTCAACCTTGATCGTTATGATCTGTACGATTAAATCAGTCGCACTCTAGGCATTCTGTCTTTATTGAACATCTAGTTAATCCATTAAACACCTATCACTTCTTCTTTTACGATCTTCTATAGAAAAAAGTTTCCGAACACTAGTCATAAAAGAAATCAAAAATTTTTTAACATTCGTTACTCCCGAATACCTGTACGAAGCCTTTAAAAACCAATTTCCTTTACGAACAGCCGGACATGTTGCCAGATGTTCGAGCAGGGCGGTACGAAACACAGTTTATTCGCAATTTTTAATTATTATGTTGAATGTAAGCTTTATAGTAGATTTACGTAAGAAACATCGTTTCTGCTTTTTCTTCTGCTTTTTGATGACGAAATTTCTGTCATTTTCTGCTTTTTATAAACTTTTTTCTGCTTTTTGGGCTTCAAAAGGTGGCAGCACTGGTCGCTATTCAAATACGCAGTGTGTAAGAATATTGAATTTAAGCGAGAAACGAACAAAGCCATGTGCATTGTTTATCAGTTTTTTTCTCTCTCTCTCCCGCTGTATGACTGATGTGTCACAAAAGACATATTATATGATTGCCGAAAACAGAAGAAGGATTTGTAATATTCTTTCGCGTTTCTTTAAAATATATAAAATATTCAGTGCAGACTTTATGACTAATCTGAGAACGGACAGTGCAAAAATGGAAATTTTGAAAAGTCTATTCCTCATATCTATACGTATTTCTGTAAAGAGTGTGGATGTGAGGCAGAGAAAAAAACACAGATACCCACACCCACCCTCAAGATTCTCTTTCTTTTTTTAAACAGGTATCGACAGTCTATCACACAATTATTTTATATGACTACGTCAACGACAACTGAAATCGGATGCAGCATGCTGTGTACGAATGAAAAGAATACGAGCGTTTTTACTTGCAATAGCTGTTCGCAAGAATTTTGTATCGAACAACAACTGAATAAACTTATTCTTGAACATGATCAACTACAACAGTCAAATGAATCTTATCACTATCCGTCGACGAGAGTAATTGATGAGTGGGAACATGAATCTATTGCAAAGATTTATGAAATAGCTGATGACATTCGAAAGGAACTAAAGTCTAACTCTGAAAAACATAAAAATCAGTTTTCGAAACAATGGGAAGAACTATCAGAAGAATTTTAAAAAAATTCATAATAGCAATGTTTGTTTGGAAATCGATTTCCGACAATTATCAAACAAATTTAATAAACTCAAATCATATCTTGCAGCACCGCCGACGATTCGTTTTCAAGATAGTATATTAATTTCTAAACCTGATATTTGTACAATGCCAGATGATATTTTTGAAATGTTTGCCGGTGATCTGAAAATCAAAGACAACGGTCAAGTTGTTGAGCATGGTTCAACAATTGGCCATGCAGTTGTACGAGGAAGTGGCGAATATAGTTCAGGTGAACATAGATTTCAATTCAAAATTGAATCTTACAATATGAATAAATGGATATTCTTCGGTATTATTTCACATAAAGTAACATTGTGGTCAAATACATGGGCAATACCATCGTGTTATGGATGGGGAGGACAAGATTCTACTATTCTCAATCTTGCAATGCATGCAGGTCTCAATGGTTATTCTTGTGATTTTGAATTAAATGATATTATTGAATTAATACTTGATTGTGATCATCAACTAATTCGTCTGACAAATCTACGTACAAAACGTACACACATGATGAATATTAATCTTCTTAAATGTCCTTTTCCATGGCATTTTCTTCTCAATATATTCTATCCTAACGATCAAGTGCGTATTTTATATACAGACAGTCAAGAAATTTGATTCATCTAGAAGCATGTTCGAGGGTGTGGGTGTGGGGATTTATCAACCTCACACACACATACCCTTAATATAGTTTTAATGATATAAATACAAAATAATATCAAACATATTCTCTTTTATGTCATTATTATGGCTACGACGGTATTCGATCGTCGAGTTATTTTTTTCATTATTGCATTTTTAACTGGATCTGTAAATTTAAATAATACAATCATTACAAACATTAACGAGATCCTAACGAATATATACGCTATACGTAAATGATATTTTGGTGGTTCAGTTATAAATCCCATAAAAACAAAAATTGTAAAAGGTACGCCCATTGTTAATAAAATCAATAGAAGAATCATTATTCGATAAACCATTTTTAATTCTCTTTGTGCACGAACTAAAGTATTTACAGGTGTAATATGTTGATTCATTTCTTTAACATATCGAACTAATTTCAAATATATAAACATAATTCCACTCATCGGTATTATATAAACATAAAATATATTATAAACTGCTACAACAGAAAGATGAAGTACCATTTGACATATTTGATCATTAACTTGATATTTAATTTCATGAGTGAGTAAATGTGGTAAAATACATATAAAGACAGATACCCACATTAAACAAATGAGAAATAATTGAAATTTTGCTGATTGCCAAAATAATCGAGTGTGATAAACAACTGTCATATAACTATAAGTAGCTTGTAAGAGATATGCATAAAATAATTCACCACCGGTAACGTAAATCATGTAACCTCGAAAAATACATGATGAATCTTCATAGGAAATTTGTTTAAGATCATTCTGAAGCGTAAAGATTGTCGTCCAAAACATAATAATCGTCAATGAAAGACAAGCAAAACATGAATTTGCTACAAACATCATTGGAATTGTATGACATGTTTTATCAATGAAAATAATAAATAAAAATAATAAAGCCAATAGAATAGCTAAGAAAAGACATATAAGTAAGAGAATATCGATAGGAATAAACCATGATTCAGTATTTATAAGTGTAGAATTTAAATCTTTTGGTAGAGAAACTAATTGAGTTATTGTATTCATCTAGAAAATAATGGAAAAGAAAAGAAGTAGATAGATTTTTCATGTAAAACTATCAACGATATCGATATTTTCAAAATACTTGGCATAGAAATATACCGTGAATTCTAAATTATCTCCAGATGAAACTGTTGCATTGTCTAGAATAGCTTTTTTTTATTTTTTCTAGTCAAAGATCATGCGAGATTCTTACATTTATTCTCGTAGGAAAAAATTATAGTTGAATATCATGATGAAAAAGTGATAATTTAATTGTAAAAAATGCCTGTGGTTTCTGTCTATGATTATTAATTGAAATGTTTCTTAAAAAAGATGTCATTACTTGATTATTATATTTCTTTCGGTGACGTGTACGAGTTACTGACAGTTGAATTAAAAATAACAAGAATAACGAGAGATGTATGCATTTAGACATTAAAATGATTAGAAAAAAAACGCTGGTATCTTAATATAATTATAATGAGACTATTATTATTGATGAGAGCGCATCTATAGTTAGGTTCAGAAAACTTCTATGAATATAGAGTAAATTATTGTCTTATTTGTGTAACACAGCTACCACTATGCTCGATTGTCGACTTATTCTTTTCATTAGGGATGTACCAACTGCATCAGTAAATTTAAATAAAAAGATCATAATAAAACCCAATTATTCAATAAACCATTTTTAATTCTCTTTGTGCATAAAATAAAGTATTGACAGATGTAAAACGTTGAGTCTTTTCTCTAACATAGCAGCAAACATCATTGAAACTGTATGACATGTTTTATCAAATATAATTATTAGTAGAAATATTAATGCTAGTATACAAGCTAAAAAGAGACATATAGAAAATAGATTATCAAAAAGAAATCTATATAAACTCTGCCTTTTTATATTATCATTTATTTTTAGAATGAATGACAATAATTATGTTGATTATTTAAAAATATCTTTTAAATGACTTTTTTTTCATATAGAAGATGTCTGAAATATCTTGTGTGACTATAAGCTAATTAATTTTTAATGAACAACATAAATGGAAATTTTTTTTTCTATTCCCCTCAAGCAGAGCTTTAACTGGAAAAGTATGTTATTCTTTTAGAAAAGAAACATACTAGCAAAATCAACATTCAGACTGTTTTTTCCGTTCTTTTTTGAGATATTTTACAGCTTTTTCAAAAATTTCACTTTCTCGTTTTTATAATTTCACCTTGATAATCAGAAATAAAACGGGTGATTTTATCACAATCAATCGCTTTGAGTGGAAAATTAGTTTTGAGAAAAACACAAAATAAATCTGAAGTGTATCTTGCTATAGACAAAAAAAAAATGAAATGTTTTTTAACACTACTTTTTTGTCAGGTATTTGGGTGTGGGTATCGATGAGTATACAGAGAAGATAAACCCACACCCTCAACTATTCTTATTTTCCATGTTCAGCATGTGACATGCAAAAACCAGATTCTTCATAGAGATGTTCGAATAACACCACAATATCTATATTATCTAAAACGACGGAGGCGTTGGGATAACCGAAAATAACTTAGATTGATGATTTTTCAAATCAAAAGAATGTGGCAATTAAAAATTCAGCTTCTATTACACACCATCATCCTCATTCTAGTATAATGTAATTGTAGAAACATTGTGCAATGAAAGGAAGAAAAAGAACAGTCGTTAGATACCTATTGATACATTACTCATAAAACATAAGCCATTCAAAGAAAAGGAGAAAATACTTTGCTTTTTATCGACATAGTTGTGTCTCTTATTTATATATTTGCCATGTGGAAGACGTAGGAACTTTTGAAGATAAATGATGGTACATGTGCATAAGACTGATATGTCATGTCGCAGATATTTCAATGTCAGAAATGTAATGATAATTGTAAAGCATCGTTCTAAATCTTTACTTCGCCCTCACTCTCAATATGAATTGCATATCTCCCGTTTTTATCTCTTGTGCGAAAATAATTAAACCAACATTTATTTGAAATAATTAGTACTTTATTAATTATAGACAGTGTAAGAACAAAATACATTTTTTTACCACCATAAGCACGATCCATGCTGTCGACGTTTGATATCATAAGTATCAAGTAATTTTTCATCATCGATCATTGTCTTCAATTGTTTGATCATCGCATCATCACCATCAAACACTAATGAAAAAAGATGACTGTTATCAATTCTGTTTGACAATAACGTTCGTACAAATGGTATGAGAGTATCCTCTCCGTTCAGAAGTCGAAGACGTTCCATTCGAGGAAAAAGCTTATTGATTAATTGAACAGTGCTAAGTGCAAGTTTGCCAATTATTTGTACATATCGCACATTATTGTTGCATACCAAATCATCTGTATTAGTTTGTTGATCTGACGATACTTCCATTTCAGATGATGACCATACATCAAGAATCAATTTTTGAACATTAGGCATACGATTAAGAAGTTTAACAAAATTGTTCAACAATTGATTATTAAATGAAATCTTTAAATAAGTAATATTTGTCAAAATAAAAATATGACTTAGATTATCAATGAATGAGTCAATATTGATCGTAGTATAATTAATGGTAAGTTGTAATTCAGTTACACGAGGAAATTGAAAGGGAAAATTGGCAACAATATTTTGACTTTTTATACTAATGCGTGGTCCAAAAGATAAATGGAAGAGTGGATCTCGGCATGAACATATTTTATTATCTAAAAATTCATCAGATTGACAAAACTGTCGCCTAAAAGAAAAGAATCATTATTTCACAACAATAAGTATTTTCTTTCATTGAATATACCCGCGCATTTGAGAAGAATAAAATGCTAACCGTTCTTCTTTTTGAGAAAAATGATGACAATGGCTATGGGCAAAAAACCATTGTTGTTCGATCCAAAATGGTGAAGAAAATTCATCAAGTAATGTTTGACAGCGATTATTTCCATGAGCATCTTTAATTAATGGACCATGGTAATCAAATAGAAACGTACGCAAACGTGGCATATGACGTATAATTAATTGTTGCCATTGATAAGCATTTGATAGGGCAGTTTTATGAATAATTGAAATGCGTAAGAATTCGAGTTCAGAACCAACGATTGCAATGAATGATGCGAATTTATCAAATGATAAACGCCAATGATATAGAGAAATACTAGTTAGATTGCGTGGTATTGTACATTGTCCTACTGGTATGTATTTACTGCACAATATATTCTCAAATGACAAACGACGAAGTCGAGGTGTATATGATAGAAGATTGTAGATACTTGTAAGATCAGGCGGACCATCAACAGCGAGATACTCAAGAGTCATACTTCGTTGTTTGTCGCTCGTAGCGATGGGAAACGGAACAAATCTAGAACCCCAGTTGGAACACAAAATTTTGGCATATCGTAAAACAGGTAGACGAAATACTGATTGAAAAATCATAAATAGTTCATACCATTCGTAACAGAAGATTTTGAGAGAGAAGAGTCGAGGTAATTGGGCTAAACTAGTAAGAATAAAAACATCATGATCTATATTAAGATCATTGAGTACCAATGATTCGAGACGATTGAATGATATGTCAATAGGAAATGATGTAAAGAAATTTTTGATGAAAAATGGTTCTGATAATTGTAATGAAATAATTTGATTCATATTTGGACGGATAATATTGACCGAACGTCTGTTAAAATTTGATTTAGACATAAATGAAATATTTAATTTGAGGAAGAAATCAGGACTAGTAATGAGTTGTTGGATACGGTTATTGAGATCAGAAAAAGCATCGAATATATGATAACCATCAAGTAAATCGAAAATATTGAGTAAAAGTTCATTTGAAAGATCTTCAAAATGCGTTGCTGATCTATGATTATAAGAAAGAAAATTACAGATTACAAAATGCTCATATTATTAGAAGAGAATGTATTTTATTTTTTTAAAGTTACCTTTTCATCTTCACTTTTAGCTATTCAACTAAATGATTATTTCAAATTATGGTGATGAATTTATAATACTACGCTGAAAGAGAAGCATTTTTTTCTAGACGACTAAATCAGGCAGCACTATGGGCGAGAAAAATAATCTTTACGCCGTCTTAAGATGTTAGTTCAAAGTTCAATGATATGGAAATAGAAATGTTTTCGATCGGTCAGTAAATATGTAAATAAACACGGAGCTTGTGAGTGGATGCGAAATGAGTGAATACATGTATATCTACAATTCACATGTACTTTCTTATTTTTAAATCAACATTTTATTTTAAGTGAATGTTTTATACAATCAATAGCGATTTTGTTCTTTGAAGTTATCACATTTACATAAAATTTCCCTAAACTTGGCATGAGATGAAGAAGTTCCTTCCATCGATTAGCATTCAAATAAGAATAATCTCTCGATGAAATCCACAATCCTTTTATGTAACGAATATCTATGAGATTATTAGAAGTAAGCCGAAGGGTGTGGGTCAGGATGCGAGAGAAGTAGTGGCATCCACATCCACCCACCAAGTTACGTACTACTTTCGATATAAAATACGGGTTGATGAAAAATTTGAATAGAAAATACAATGATATATTTTGTAAAGTAGATTTTTGAATTATAATCTGTCTAGGCTAATTCTTAAAATAATATACTGATTAAAAATGGTTCGTATAGATTCTTAGATACAATTTAATTTTATTGGCCACAAGTAACTAGTTATCGAAAATGAAAAAGAATCGATTTCTGTACGAGTGGAAAGTTACATTGACCTTTTTAATTTATATCTGAGAAATATTTCTGGAATAGAAAAGCAAATATATCTAACTTCTGATGTAATACCATACAACAAGAAAAGGTGGGCAACTCCATTTAGTACTAGGAATTTTATGCGGGGTGAGTTACGTAATGATAAAATATTAACTAACGACCACGTTATATGATTAATTAGAAGTGTCGTAGGATCTTTTATTAATGACGTAGAACTGGCAAGCTATTTTTGTAAAGGTAGTGCAACTACGCGATTATGCACACGTAAGTATAACGTCATTGATCAACGCCGTTAGTTGTTGTAACAGAAAAAGAACACCAAGATTGAGCTTTAACTTGTTCTTACTTGCTTTTACCACGTAGTTACGCTTTATAAAAGAAAATAAATATTTAGCAAACTATTTTATTCTTGTCACCTCCTGCGCAGAATTTGACATCAAAGGGCGTATATCACTATAGTATCGGTTTTGAATGACGTATATGGTCCTAACTTATAATGTACGTCATCTCTACCACGCGTTATTTGGCCGATCATTATAAATAGTTGGAGAAATGTTTTTAATCATTATTATATTCAGTTATTTGATACAAAGAAATTCTTCATTTTTTTGACAACAGTTCAGTCATGAAGCCAATTATCATATTATGCTCATTATTTATTATTTTATCTTTCATTGATACTGGTAAGTCTAATGAAAATTAATAATATAAAAATCTAGATTTTCTCTTTTTAGTTATTGCATATCCACATAATACAAATCGTTTATACGATATAACTCATCGATCCATGAACAAAAATGATGATTCACTAATATCAAACAGTCAAACTTCTAAATTTATACGCTCACTAATATCTGCATCAGTCCATCAACAATCAAGTTCAGTAGAAGATAATGAACAATTCGATGAAGTAAAACGTGATGCTTTGGATTCAGGTGAAGAACAATATTTTAAATGGGCTTCGTTAAATCGTCGACCTATGGAATCATTAATAGGACGAAAACGATTCGCCGAACTTATTGTATCAGAGCCAAAACCTAGCCGAATCGTTGCTGGCATATGGCGTAGTGGACTTGTTGGTTAAAATAGAATAATCCACTTTTATTCGAAAAAAATAAACAACATTTCTTGTTTTTGTTATCAGAACGATTGAATTTTGAATAAAAATGATTGAATGTAAAAACTAACATATCTTTCTTAGTCTTTATTGATTAACATCTGGCAATATTATAATATACATTCTATTCTGTTCAACTAATGAAACAATACGATATTCTATCTTTTATATTAATTTAATAACAAGGAAATTATTGGCGTAGACGTTTATACCATGTAGGTTAGTCTATGCGAGTATAAATACATATATATTAATCATTACAAAATAATAAAATGTTTAGGTCATAGCATTCTACATATTATTTTATTTCCTAGACGAGTTATATAAGAGCTGCTCAACAAGCGTTGCATCATTTTTGTTTTAGTCATTCTTAACCGGAAGTCTAATTCAAAAATTACCACTAAGGAAATGTTAATCGTAATTCATTTTATGTTTAACAAACTATTTTAGAATATTTGAGAACAGACAAGATTTCATTTCGAATCAATTTTTGAGGGTGGATCTGGTACAGAGATAGATTTAACATCCAAACCTATACTACATTCACATCCACACCCTTGTTTGATAATCTTTTATATTAATAAAAGAAGAAAGTATTTGTTTTTTTCTGGTATTTATTCTCATCACAACTTATGTGACCACATCAATATCGTAATCTAGGTTTAGACAGTCATAGTTTATGTTTCGGAAAAAAATACAGACTATTTCAGACTATGAACCAAACGTAGCAAATATTTCTTCTAACATCCATAAAGCTAAGAGAATTTGTAAGTATTATTACTTCAAATCGATTGTATAAAAGAACGAGTAATAGGTTAGTTTAAATGTATTTAGAAAAAAAATATATTAATTAGTTACAAAGTAAAATAGCAAAACAGAAAGTCAAAAGAATCATAAAGGTGATTCTTATTTATGTTTTGATAATAATTTAATTGTCCATTTTTGAACAAAATGTATAATAATGATTATAATAATAGTTGAAAATAAATATTTTGGGAATTTCAAAAATACAAATCTCATTTTAGCTTGCTGTTGTTTATAAAAATAAGGAATTGGATGTAAACCTTCTTCTATTTCTACAAATGGATTATAGTTATTTCCATATATCCATCGTGTTATATGATAATAAATCCGAATTGGTATAAATACTAAATGTACTGTTCTTGATGATACTTTATAACTAAATAAAAAAACAAAATTTAATTAACATAATCTACAAATTTTATTCTAAGCTAAATTACTTTTCAGAAAAGACTGATGTTGATACATTATTAACCATTAAATAACTACTTAACGTAAGTGGAGAATAAAAACCTTGATTAATTGTTATTAATATATTTGTTATTTCAACTGTTTTACCAAACATAATTAAACGATCTTGCATAGTTACTAATGATGCACGTTTTATTTTCATTTTATTTTCAATTGTATCGAATACAGGTATATTATGAGCTCCTGTTAAACTAAATTTACCACCTTCGACACTTTGAAATGTATAAAATATAACTAAATAAACAAGAAATAAATTAATATTAAAGGAAAAAGAGATTAAAAACCTTTTTGATTTGGTCCATTATGCATCATTAAAATAATTTCATCTTCAATAAGTTCATAATTATGATCGTTAATTGACCAAACTTTATCACCAACTTTTAAATGTTTTATACGGCGTTGTCCACCTTCAACCAAACTAACAAGATCCTCACCATAATAACATCCTGATGTGTCTGTGCTTGTTGTCGTCGTTGTTGTAGTAGTCGTAGTAGTTGTTGTACTTGAGGTTGATGCAGTTGTAGTAGTTGTTGTACTTGAGGTTGATGCAGTTGTAGTAGTTGTTGTCGTTGTAGATGTTGTAGACGTTGTAGATGTTGTAGACGTTGTAGTTGTCGTTGTTGTAGTAGTAGTTGTTGTACTTGAGGTTGTTGTAGTTGATGTAGTTGTGGTTGTTGTAGTTGTAGTTGACGTAGTTGTAGTTGACGTAGTTGTGGTTGTTGTAGTTGTAGTTGTAGTTGATGTAGTTGCGGTTGATGTGCTTGTGGTCGTTGTAGTTGTAGATGTAGTTTTAGTTGTGGTCGTAGTTGTTGTGCTTGTGGCTGTTGTAGTTGTAGATTTTGTAGTTGTGCTTGCGGTTGTCGTAGTTGTAGATTTTGTAGTTGTGCTTGTGGTTGTTGTAGTTGTTGTGGATTCTATATGGAATAAAAAGATTTTCTTCAAAATTGATTACTTCTCTATCGATTGACAATATATCTGACAGACTATATTCACCTCATTTATCAAAACCTATGTAACATGTCGATAATAATACTTTATATTGTGCGATTCACTCAAATAGTTACGATTAATAGTTATTCTCATTCATTCAATGTGAACATGTCATGAGAGTTAGAAAAATAACGTTGCAAAAAGATTCATGCAGACCCTTATGATAATCTCAAATCTCAACTTTATGCACAAACCAATAATATCACACATTTATATTTATACTCTTACACCCTAATCCTCAATAATAGCAATCATAGAAAACATCTTAAATTTTAATTTTACTGACCAATTGCACAATCTGCACCACTCCAACTGCCTACACAGGTGCAATTATTAGGACCTGTGCATAGGCCACCATTTTGACAAGGGGGATCTGTGCATGCGACTAAAAGAAACAATAGAAAGTATTCGAATCAAGTAAATTCTAAATCTACATTACTAGTTGTGCAATTGTCACCAGCCCATCCTGAAGCGCACGCGCAAGTCGTTGGACCTATGCATTGTGCACCATTAAAACAAATAGATGAACATGGTACTGAAAAAGAAAAAGCGTATATTTGTTCAAAAATAAACAACAGAATACATTAAAGCCATTTTTCTCAGCTCCATAATTTTCAGACATCGCAGGGTTACTCTTGGTTAAAAGAAACAATCTACTTACTAACATCAATACCACTGGAACTACTACTATTTAGATTACTGCCATCAGCCAACGATTGAACATGACACAGTTCTACAGGTATGTTGCTTCCATCGTCAGCTGCGAGATTGACATTCGCCGCACTGCTGAATTTTGCATGAACATCAGTAAAAAACTCAATTTGACAGGGCAGCGTTTGACATGACAAACTTTGTGGATAATCCAATCCGACATTGAAGACAATAACAACCCCTGAATGATCTGTCTTGTCGCATTGAATACTATACGTAAAATAAATAGGTAAACATGAATAGCTAAAATTAATTCAAAAAGAAAATTACTCGCGGCGGCTACGACGCCGGCGCCCGGCACCAAAACCTCCTGTAAGGCCGATGCCGTACACGCCGATGCAACCGGCAGGCGCACCGAGTGCTTGTTGCAACTAAAACATATTACACAGTATCAATGAATATAAAAGATAAAAATTACGCAAGAAGCGGTTGTCTGTCGGTTAGTAACGGATTGTGTGGTGCGCTTTCTTGCTAATCCAGGTGGTAACAGGTAAGAGACGTCTAAGGCAATAAGTGAGTTTTCTAGAAAAGACTACGCATGTGTATGACAAGAATAATGCATAAACACTTACTAGTGGCTATTAGTGTTTCGACGTTGGTAATGGTGCTAACATTCTTAGTATGGATGATGCTTAAATCCTTTGGTGATAAATAGAGTGGAATGAGTGACAGAACAATTGTGCCTGCGACAACAAATAATGCCATTACGAAAAGACAAAATATACAAAACCTATATAATTAGTAAAAGATTACAAAGTTCATCAGAAATATTTTAAACTCACATTCGAGAAAATGTTAAGTTTAATTGAGCCATAGCTTTAAGCCAATTGAAAGGGTATTGTCTTGAAACGAAGAAATATCTGAAATGAATTTCTTTATGAAAATCGAATAATGAAGTGAAGTTACTTTGAAATTTACAAGTTTCTGATTATTAACGATATCCTAACTCATAACTGTCATCTTGAGGGTGGATGAATGTGTGAGTATATGTGTCACTATTATCATTATCTCACACACCCACACCGATCTAGTATCAAGTTCGACTAAATACTCAATCAGACTGAATGTCAGTTGGAGGTAAGTCTCATGGTTTTGAGAAATCCCAATAATTAGTTTCAAAATTGCAGAAATTCTCAATAGATGAATGACGTTTAATATAAAGGGTATCGTGCGAATAATAGAAACTAAATAGAAATGCTATAGTAATGATCATGGTGAAATAGTATCCAAATAGGATCAAAACTGAAGAAGAATAGTCAAACACACTTATTGTGAATCTACACGAAAGTAAATAATTAGGTAAATATTTAATAAGCATACGTTCTTATATGTTCTTGTCTTTACGGTTGACCGATTCATAAAGTATTCTTTTCTGTCAATAAAACAGCAAGCAGGCTATCAGTCACAAGGAATGATATATATCTTTATTTTTTTCTTAAGTAAGTGACACTTATTATGTATAATTAATGTCCGTAGAGAAAAACAAATCTTATTTATTAATGAGATATATTTCATTAATGAGATATACAAAGTTACCAGTCATAGTTTTCAATATTTAATATTGATTTCATTTTTTCTTTTTATATATTCATTTATATTTAAAATATAAATAACCTTTAGCATTCGTATAATTATTTCATTTCAATAGATAACAAATAGAAATTTGTTATAATAAATATTGATATTACATTAAAATAAAAATATTACATAAATATTTTGATAATTGTTCATAGGAATTATCAAGAAAAATGTATATTATAAAAATAATATATAGAATTTTAATATAAATTATCTTTTATAATATTTGTTTATTTATAATTTAATAAGCATTTATATAAAATATATATGAATAACATTTAATGATATAATTTTCTTTTAACACATTGAATAAACGTTGTAAAAAAATCAAAAAACTTTATTGATTTCAAAATAATTCGATTAAATAATTATTTAAAATATAAATGAACAATAAGAGATTTTTTCAAATAATCAAACATGTTGAGCGTTAAATTTCTTTTATAACATGGAATAATTAATCAAAAGAAATATAATATTTCATTTTGAAAGCGATGAATCTTTGTATTTTTTGACATTATTTAAAAGAATTTTATTAATAATAAGCAAAACAAAAACTTCAGTTAAATCAACAAATTTATTTATCTTAACGGAATAAATTTCAATATGATTGAAAAGATAATGAAATATTTAAAAGTACAAGAAAAATTTCTTAGTTATTCAATCTGCAATTTTTTATTATAATAAGTAATGTATTATAAAGACAATCATCATTTATTATCGAAAAGATTTCTTGTATAACTTAATATGAAACATGACAATTATTAAATCTCATAAAAATAAACCTTTTTATAATTTTCCAAAATCTTCTTCTTTTAATTTGTTTCTTAATTTTCATATTTAATAATAATACAAATTGTTATTACGAGAAAATATTGCTAATAAATAACAATCTTTATTGATTTAATCAGTGAAAATTCTTTAGTTTGATCATTTCAATTAAACTTTATTTTTTAATATTTATTATTTATTATCGAAAATAAACAGAATTTTATTTCATTAATAAATAAATATATAATCCAATATCATCAATATTCTAAAATTCTATAAGAACATTAACAGAATCATCATACTATTATGTGATATAATAAATGAAAAATCATATTTTATTCAAGTTATTATGACATATACAAGTGAATTATTTTAAAACAAATATTCTGTTTATTATCAATATATATCAAATAGAGAGAAAATTTCTAACATACTTCAATATAAAGATTATTAACTGTATAAACATAGTTTATAATTAATTATTTAATCATGTGTGTGTGTGAGCCTGTTTCTTATTTATTTCACATCCATCTCACACTCTCAAAATTTTGATTGCCAACTGACTATATTCATCTTGAAATCAAGGAATATAATTATTATAAGACACAGTGTGGTATTTTTGATAGTAGAAGTGAGCGATGAAATTTTTATTATTTTAATTACGTATGATTACGTTGCTGACTTTTAACAATGTTGTTTTCAATAAGATATATGACTCAGTTTGATCGTTTTTGTATTACTGTTAATTTCAAGAAATTTTTGCATATTCTTTGCTTTTATGTCAATCATTTATATAAATCAAAGGAAAGAGAAATCTAAATACATTATTTATGTCATATATCATTATCAAACGAGAGCATAACTCTTAATATGCCTTTAGAAAAATATGAAAAATGAGTATTTTCGATCATATTTTTCAATCTTTTTCTTCATCATTTTATTTGGCTGTAATATATTTCTTCTTTTATATGTACTTTACATGTAATTCAAGTTCTATATGAAAACGACGTGATTATGCGTAATTTACTTATTTCTAACTGTATACAAGTGGGAGGTTGGTCATGAATGTAAGCAAACGACTCAGTTGGTGTTTAATGATCGATAAAAGTACATTTGTATTTTTTTTGTGTAATTATATCTAAATCATATTTTTAGTGCTGTATATAAAAGATATATTTGTGTGAAATATTATTTTGTTGTCAATCGTTTTATTAGCATGATTTAAGTATATAAGTTTATATGAAATAGTAGTGCTATGATAAGATGACGAGTTTCTTAGCAGTGACATACATTTATTTGATTCTATTGATGTTTAATATATAAGAATTTTTATTTTAGGAAATTCTCAGAATGTTAGTATTAATCTATTTTCTCATAATTATACAGCCGTATTTGTATATCGCATCAATTACTATCCAAGATCCTGGCGATATAATTGATACTTCAAAGGATACAGCAGACAATGCTATTAAAGCTAATTATAATGTCATGCCTGTGATGTATTTGTTATCACCACTTCAAGCTACAAGTTTCTTCAATGGAACTCAATCTTCTTCTTGGATTAGCCATCAAACATTCTCAGCAACTGCTAATGATACTAATGTTATTGTTGTTGGTAATGGAGCTCAATTAAATCTTTCTTTCGTTAACATTGTTAAAACTGGATATTCATCCAATCTTCTTCAAGCTAGCTTCTTTGGCGTGAATGCAGCGATCAATATTCAAAATGGATCTCGTGTCTTTTTCGATCATTTGAATGTAACTACGCATAATGGAGCAGCTAATCTATACTCGTATGGAAATGGATCCTATGCCTATGTTGAGAATTCATTCTTATATAGTTCAGGACCTGCAGCTCATGGACTTTATGCTGGTGGATACGGAACGGTTGTAGGAAAAAACATTGCTCATTACTCAGGTGGTAATCGTTGTTCATCATTTGCAGGTGATTCACCTGCAGGTTATGTTACTATTTCAGATGCAATTGCCCATACAGATGGTATTGGTAGTGCAACTTTCTATGCACTTGGAACAATAACTGCTACGAATGTCATCGGTTATGCTGCAAATGCACCTGCACTTTTCTCCGATGGTCGACAAATATCAGTATTTACCAATTGTGATCTTACAGCTGGACTTCTTGCTGGTACTGTCATGTTTAGTTCGATGATTCGACAACAAGGTGCCATGCTCAATATCACTAATTCAAGACTGACTGCACTCGGTAATACAATGCCTGGCTTATGGTTTGGAAATGTGATAGCTACCGTTTATCTTTATAACACAATAATTAATACAGCATCGAATATTCTCGTTACAGCTAATTACTCTCAAGTGACACAAGATTTTAATTATTATGCAGGCTATCCAGATAATCCAAATCTTTTACCTGCAGTTGTCACAATCAATGTTGTCGAATGTGCACTTACTGGTCAACTTATTGCTTACAATGGGAGTAGTATTAATTGGATCATGAGTCAATATTCAACATGGAATGGTAATGCTTATTCTGGCTATGGTAACTCATATATTAGTATTTCTCTTGATTCGACTTCAATATGGAATGTAACTGGTAATACAATGCTACAAAATCTTACAACAAGTAATAATAGTTTAGCAAATATCAACAGTAATGGATATAATATTTCTTATGATTCAAATTCGACTATGAATAGTTGGCTTAATCAAACAACAGTATCACTCACAGGTGGTGGCAAATTGATGCCTGCAATACCAGGACAATCAGTAATTACTACAACGCAAGTGACAACATCATCTGCAAAGCAACAAACTCCTTCACATTCAATTTCTATCTTTAGTGTTCCCAAAATTTTTATTTTGCACTTGTTTTCGATCAAAATTCTCATATTTCTATTTTTTCATTGAATTCAACCTTACTTACTTACAATAATATTCATCTTATTTAGTGCTTTTATTTATCATTAAACTTTTAAATAAAACATGTAAAACGATGACACTACATGAATTATAAATTAAGGATCGTAAATATATATAAATTTTCATAATTAATGCATTCAAATCTAAAACCTAATTTTATATATTGAAAGCAGATTACTTGCACCAAGTGAATTATAGTTATAATTTAAACCATAACATCTGTTACAGATCATCAATATTAATTCGTTCGATAAATGATCCAATATCTATGTCCGCATGTATTGTTAAGGAATATTATTCATAGAGACCAAATATTTCTAAGTGTGAATGGATATGATGTTTTTTTCTTTTACGATCAGTTTAAGAAACAACTCTTTAGTGTTATTCCACAACTTGAACTATTTGTGCGAAAAAAAGCGCAACATGTATTTCTAATTGGATAAAGAAGAAATATGAATGTTCACATCTGTCATCAATTATTTATGGTATCGGAATATCTAGCTGTGAACATTCAATTGTATAACTTGTTAGTGTGAAAGAAAAGACTGTAACAAATTGATGATAATCAATTCTTCTGTCACACATAATAGGAATATATAAATACGCGTTATACTAGTCAACAAATCATTCAATTCAACGAATTTGTTTAAGTCATGTCATCTCAATGGTTGATACTATTAATATTTGTTGTATTTGTACAACTAGCTGTTACTAATGTAATATGTAAGTCGACTAATCCATGAATATGTCAATATTTTAGGAATATTAACAATTTCATAGTAGATTCTGTTGTAGTCAGAGCAGAAAGTTAGTTTAACTTTTTCCTTATATAGTTCGATATCTATGAACCATAGAACTTCTAAAATTACTAAAAAACTTTTTTTTATAATTTTTACTTTACTTTAGATTCTGATTTTGATGATGAAGATCATAAACAAAATCCTGTCGAACCTGAAGATTTACCTTCACATACCAATGTAGAAGAAGGTGACATCGATAGTAATTATTACTATCGTTTGACAGATAGCTATTCGGGTCAAAAGTTAGCGTTAGATGTTATCAATGATGGTCAGAACTATGGTCTAAATATGGTTCCAGTTGCTGATTATACTGGCCAATATTGGCGTTTTGTTCATTTACATGACAATGTTTACAGTCTTCGAACTCGTTTTCTCGGTGATGGATACTCACTTGATATTATCAATGATGGAGTTAATAATAATAAGCCACATATGGCTAAAACAGGCCATCATACAGGTCAATCTTGGCATTTAACACGTTTGATCGATGGAACATACAACTTCAGTAATGAATTTACAGGTCTCAATATGGCCCTCGATATTTCTAAAAATAGTCATATTGTGCACATGAGTGCCAAAAAAACTGATTACTCTGGTCAGCAGTGGCAACTTACAAAGATTGGTAGAATTAACAGCTACTGATTCTTCTATGTTATTCATTAGATTCTTACATGTATTCTCGCTACTTTATGTTTGTTCTTCTGTTTATGTAGTTTAGTTCAAACCTTCTTAGTGTTAGAAATAAAGCAGAAATAATAAATGAATAATCATCATTATTGTTGTTGTTAAACTAGGATTCGTGAATTTTTCGACGACTGACTTGTTATACCTTGTTTTAGTTGTTTCTCTAGTGACAGTTATTGTTCTTTCAATACATAGTACACTTATCAATTTGTTTCAGATGATAATTCTTTGAATAACATTAACCGTTTTTATTATACAATTAAATGAATGTAATTAGTACAAACTAAGCCAAGCACATATGTGTAAAAGAATAATAATTTGTTAAAATATGAACATTTTGACTATCTTTTGTTGGAAAACAAACCAGACACATTTAGCCACTTGATCGTCTTGTAGAATAAAGATGTGAGCATGAATAAAATGAGGAAATACGAAAAAAAACGTTCGAAATTTGATCTCTCTTATTTCCATAATAACAATGCATTATTTGATGCTAATAAAGTATTTTTCGTTTGTAGTTTTTCTACTGCTAGTTCGATTGTATGGTTCATTAATATAACGACTGCAATTATTACGAGTTGATTAAAATATGAAAAAGATGAGAGATAAAGTTTGTTATGTATTAGTAATTGTTCAAACAAGTTATTTTAGTTTAACAGTGTATGGGCAAATGTTGTATTCGCCTTTTAATCATATTCATACACTTTTTTCTGTCTCTTGTTGCATTAAGAATTCGAGTTAATTCAATAGAAGCGAAATTACTATTTCTACCAATACTAATCTGTTTCTTACTTCTTATATCTGTTGATATGTTTTCTTATAATTTGACAATATGCCTGTTTATTTCAAGCAGTCATTAATGAATAGAGAAATCTTAAAAATTTTGAAAATTTATACAGATAACTATCGAAGAATATTTTATCATTTATATTCAACAATTTTCAAAGATAAACTATTAGTTTCTTTTCATGATACTAATAGTAATTTTAGATTAATAAATCTTACCAAAACATAATCAATAAGTATCTCAATAGGGCGTGGGTGGTCCTGAGTGTCGATATATATTCATCTGTGTTTTTACTACAATCATGCCTACACCCATCCTTAAACAAACTAAAACATCGTAGAAATAGCTTATATATTTATTTATTCATTTACTTGAAAAACACAGCTTTCATCTGTTCTTATTTAAGAAGGATCATTTTCTAATCTTATCAACTTGATCTTTGATTATCATCTGCTTCCTAAATCATATTATTATCGCTTTGTTTAGCTTCATTTATTCATATTTAGTCGCATATTATATGAGATTCGATATTCTCAACATAAATTCAGATATTTTTCTGTTGTTATTCAAAAGCAAAATGAGAAGAATAGGATGAATGGAGATTTATTTAGAATAAGAAATAAAATTTTCAAGTGGATTACAAAAGGTTAGGAAATATCTGGAATGCAAATATCGACTATGAATTCTCATCATTTTGATATGCAAAAGCTAGTAACAATCAATAATAGAAATAGTTTTATCATTAATTTCGAGTTGTATAATATCAATAATTATACCATACTGAAGTACATTGAACTGATCCATATAAATGATAGTTGAATCCCTTATCTGATTTGCACACGAAGATTGAATATTGAGTGGAATTTCTTGATAACAACACAATTGAATGATGACTTTATTTTTCTTCGCTGTAGATACAAGAATTTGCTTCATTACCAAACTGAGCTTTGAACGAAACGAAGGTTTTGAGGAAGAACTGTTGTTGTATGCACTATATACTCAAGATTGTTTACCAGATCTAACAAGACTAATAATGGACCATGGACAGATTTTATAATGGATCCTAACAAATACAAGGATAGAAAATAAATGTTCAAGAAAATCCAATGTCTAAGTAACAAGTAATATGTATAGCATTGAGTACTAACTAAACTTCGATGCTTACCGATGACACTTTCAAAGTTAAAGGTGCTGTAGTTTTGTAAAGGGCCAAATAATAATACATGTTGAGCAAGATGTATCAGAGAACGTATAATAGAAACACAGTTTAATTCCTGATAATATAAAAATAAGGATTAAAACGAGAAACTGGCCAAATAATGTTTAATGCCTCCATATAACATTGAAAACTGCTTCAATTATAGCTCTTATACGATTTTGATTTGATTTAATCGTTAAGTTGCTATTATCTGCATTTCTGCAAATATTGCAACATAGGCTAATAATCGAAAATGTTCGTAATGCTTTATTTTCATTGTTGTTTCGAATACCTTGTCAAATGAGATCTATATCCGTCAGATATGTAAAAAATACCCACTCTATACTTGTAACCGAATAATAGTATTATGCGTAATTCATTGGCTTTCTATATTTGGTAAAAGCGTAAAGATCGTGCTAAATGAGTTGTAACAGGATAGTGAATAGTTTGAAATAAGTTTCCAATTTCATGAAATCTTTTAAACAGTGGCGGCGCGAGCGGGGGGTGGTTGTGGGTGTGGATATTGTATTTATCTCACGCTTTAAACCTACATTTGGTTGATCACACCAAAACTGAAAAACACTACTTTAAATTTGAAGAAAAAAATCTGTATTAGCTCAAGATTTTTTTTTGGTTTGTGCTCATTTTATTGTCACACTCGAAAGTGCTTACAATAGAAAAGAAAATTAAAAATATAAAGCACAAGGGAGAGAGAAGAAAATCGACTTATATGAAGATATATCTAAAGCGTACACTAGTAGGGGGAGAGAACAACTTATCTATTTATATTAATTAGCTCAAGATAACAACAAAAAGAAAAGAGAAATAAAAGAAACTTTATGCACAAAAAAAATTAGGTAATATAACGATCAATGATATATCTTTCAATACTTATTAAATATTTTAATTGTAAACGTTTAATTATAATAATAAATCTTTTTAACCATCATACCTGATGATAATGCACAAATAGCATCGAAAGCTCGTAAATATCGAACAAGAAAAAGTTGACATCAGTACAAGTATTATTATAATATATAGTGTATCTTCCTACTTCGTTATATTAATCAATGGTTTATTTTATCAGTTACAATTTCCGTATTTAAAATACTCATTGTGGACTTCAGGATTACTATGAATATGATTATTGTCATCTGTTCAACTAATTACCAACATATTAAATGATTTAGCTGAACCAACCAGAAAAGAATCCAAAAAACCATTTTCTGATGTTTCTTGACGGTGGTGAACTTATGTGCTATCTATGCCAGAAACAACGGCGTCGTAAACGATGTAAAAACGATGAAAAATAATGTAGAATAGCATCGTTTTACCACCATCTTAGAACATATAAGATGTCGTTTTCGATAGTCGGAATGATCGTTCTGAGTATACGTGATGCCTTTTATTTATTCTATGGCAAAAAGATTTAACAAGATATTATTTTGTAGCATCAATAATGTGAACGTTGAAAAAAACAATTCTGAAGCATGATGCTGTTTATTGATGTCAAGAATTTATTAATAATATTACTATAACAAAAGCAACAACAAATGGATTATATATAGGAGAAGAAGAAGAAGCTAATGCAAGTAAGATAAATTGAAGCGACATTTTTCTTTATATAATTAGTTTTTAGGATGTGGGTGTACATGTCGGTGTAAGTGGAAGTAAACAAATGATCTTCACATATCCATATTCACACTCATAAATAACGATCGTTTTAAAAAGTTGCGAAAAAAATTATTGTCAAAAATTTCAGACATTTATCCTATAATATGAATGTTATAAATTTGTAACTTTAATTACAAAAATGATAGAGCCATATACAGATTCAAAGAACAGTTCAGCGTATTTCTTGATTGACGTATTCAATTGTTTAATAATGCCAGTAATGATCTTTAGCTCGACGAATAAGATTTATAAGTTCTTTTCGATATGTCTTAGCAGCTAATGTAAAGACGTAAAAACTGATCTAAAAAAAGAAATATAAAAAAGAAATTTGATTTTTTGTTCTATAAAATCTCTATGTTTCTATTGTATAAAGATTTGCCGATAGAAAATAAAAATTTTAAAGTAGTGTGCATCTTTCGATTTTAAAAAATCTACTTTTGTACTTTCATATACACACTCGCTTTTTATTTTTGTTGATTAGAAAAAACTGAAGTAAGTGTGTAGATAAATTTTAATAACTAACCGATTGACTAAGATTGAGTGTGACAAAAGTAATTTGTTGAACAAATAGAAATGTTATATTCACAGCAAGTGTTGGTTTTATAGCTGCTATCATAAGAGTAATATGAAATGGTAAAGCAAGAGAAGCATAACATATAACATGTTAGAATAATATAATTAATAGTTGAGCATCACCTCGAGCACGTCGTCGTTCTACTATTGCATTTGTATTAACTAATGGTTGAATTCTTTGACGTCGATTTCGAATATTATAGCTTGTACCCAAACCAAATATAATAATTAGAATAATAGCAAAAAAATAATATCCAGTTGTAAAAAACGGAAAAAAATTTGCATAAAAACCTGGTTGTGGTTGACATATCGACCTAATAATTGTATATCGAATGGGCATATGAATATAAGCTATTGATGTCATAAAAATTACAATAGGTATAACTATATAAGCTGTTTGAGGACGGGAACTCAAACGACGTAGATTTGCATCGGGACAACTTGACAAGAATCGATCTATTGTAATACATGCTGTAAAATATGGAGCTAAATTATAAATAACATAGATGAAATAAGATAGAAAACGACAATAACTAAGCGATGTACCAATAGGATTTAAAACAGGAAGTATTTGTGAAAACCAATTGTTTAATGTACCGAAAATAAGTATAATAAGACCATTAAAAGATCCAGCCAAAAAATAAATCGAACATGAACGATGAAGAGCTGGACGAGTAAATATAAATATATTAAGTATATTACCAATAATACCAAATATAATTATAATTGGAATGAAATATAAATTTATATTATAAGCTATTTTCAATAATTCCATTTTTATTAATTTCGACAAATAAATATCTAGAATAATTTAGAAAAACTTAAATAATAATGAAAATATCATAAATTATGATTTCTATTTTGTGTAAGATCTATTTTTAATATAAAAAGAAACTAAATGAATAATCTTCTTTATTTCAAAGAGAAATACACTTAGAAAAATTAATCATAGAATTGAAAATTAATATTAATAAGTAATCATCTTATGATTTGACTTAATAACTATTTAAGAAAAAAATGCTCTGCTTTGAATGATGTTTAATATTAGAAAGTAAAAACATCACTTATTTCTAATTGAACAAATGTAAGATAAAATATAAATATTTTACTGAAAAAATCATAAAAAATATTATAGGTAATTCACGACAAGAATTTGTATTCTTTTCTAATTATCATCGAACGAAACTGATCTAGAGGATGTCTAGAATCAGAAAATAGAAAATTTTCTCTTTCAAATAAAAAAAATTGTCCAGCTTGGTCGAGAAATAATGGAGAATATTTAAATTTCTTTTTCGTTAATGAATATCCAGACACTCTGCATAGTGAGTTTAATATCTATAAATATATATTGTTAAAAAAAGTGATTATATCGAAGACTTAAACTAGCAACAATATAACATATAGATTATTGACAATAAAAAAAGACTTCTAGATAAAATGAATAGAAGTTATAAATAAATCTAATAAGACAGAGATGTTTACATAGTTTTTCGGATGACGTAGCAGAAACAAATTAATCAATCAAGTGTCATCTTTACAACAATAATACAATGAACTGCCATAATTAGGTGACAGCAAAATTTACAATTATTTATATTTAACTATCAAGGCTATTGCAGGTCAACTACAATAAGTAATATTTATTTAATTGTAGAACCAAAAAAATGTTGTGCACAAATCTTTGCTATTTTTTTAACTTTTTAGTCTTAACACATATAGTGATTACACGAAAATAGAAGTTTACTCAAAGACTTCCATTTGTATATTCATATATTTCTTTGATTAATATTCATTAGTTTGATGTATTCTTTGTAATATTTCGTTGAAATTTTGTTTCTGAAAGTACTGTTAAGAATAATGGTATTATTTTACCAAACTATCGATTTATTTTCTTAATTGCGATAGAAAGAAGAGACAATGTAAAATAATATCATTGTTATTTAAATTTTTCATGCGATACAAAGTCAAATGTACTTTATACTCTCTAATCTTAAAAATAATAAATTTCAAAACTTATTTCGTTTCTCTTGTTGTTTTTCGATGGTATCAAATGTATACTTGCAAATACCTTTATAATAACAAAAAAAAATAGAAATAGATATAGAAAAGATTAATATATCATGTTATTTTCATCATTCTCATTTTTCTGTAAGCCTCATTTTATAATTTGTTCGAACCAATTTTTGAATTCGTTTCATTAAACGAATCATGTCGTTGTTCACACTGGTGATCATTGGAATTATAGTGAGTAATATCTTTGATGTCAGCAGCGCAGAAATTAACAGTGATGTAAAGTCGATGTCTGCTATTGCTTCAAATAGTACGAAACGTGGACTTTGTTGGCCATGGAATAATCCGGCATCATCATTTAAATTATTTTCACCAAGTGCCATACCATGGTTATACAATTGGGAATTATGGGATCCACGAGCATCAGGTGTTTATGCACCAGCTGAATATGTTCCAATGTGCAGAACACAAAAAGAAGTGTCACAAGTTCCTGGTTATTTTTCAAATTGTTATGCCAAAAATTTTCTAGGTTTTAATGAACCAGATTTACCAGCAGCTTATGGTGGAGATTATATATCACCTTTTGATGCTTCCGTTCTTTGGAAACAATATATTCAACCAATAAAACTCAAATGTGGAACAGCATTAGGTGCTCCAGGTGTTACAAATGGTGTTGGTTCTGGATGGGGAACAGATTGGCTTCGTCAATTTTTCAGCCATTGTAACTTTCCTTCTTGTACATTTGATTTTCTTCCCATTCACTGGTATGGAAATTCAGTATCACAGTTTAAAGCGCATATAATTAACGTTCATTCGCTTTTTCCAAATTATCCATTGTGGATTACTGAATTTCAATTTACTGATGTTTCAAGTACAGTAACAGCCGGTTATGTAAGAGAAACTTTACAATGGCTCGATGCACAACCTTATGTTGCAAGATATTCAATGTTTGGGCCAATGAATTCTCCAAATATGGCAGGAATTCTCAATGGTGCGATGGTTACAGATGACCTTAGTCAGCTGACCGAAGTTGGCAAAATTTATGCTGGACTCGCATAAAAATACGAACAGTTACAATTAATAAAAAGAAATTCTATATTATTGAAATAAATATCAGCAAAATAAAGATCATATATCAAATCGTGTTTAGTTAAAAATATAATAGAAAAAGATAGTTAGCTTTACATAAAACATTAATTAAGTTAGAAAAAAAGATATCTAAACACATATAATTATATTTTATTTCATAAAATCTTCTTCCGAAACATTTAAACTATAAATAATTTAATACGAAATAAATGTTTTGGTTTTCAACCAGTATATAACATCATTTCTTAGCCACTGAAGTAAATAATATAGACTTCCATTTATTGGTGCTTCATCTAATTGATATTTATTTCGTTTGAGTTTCAAAGCATGACAGATGATATTACACACATGTGTTTGGAAGAATCGTTTCATACCAGCTTTACCAAGATTTGTTCGATCAAATCGTTTAAACGAACTAAAACTCTAGTAGACAACAATGTCAATGATGCGATATCAATTTATAATTTATTCAAATACGAAAAAATACGATTTGTATTTTTTTCTACCACCTTCAGAGCAGTCATCCTGTTCCGGAAAGTTACACATTCCGGAATCGCTTGGCTCACCCAACTTAACATAATTCAATTCCGGAATTCCTTGCATTCGATTCCTGCCTATTCCGGAATGCCTTGCCTTCGATTCCTGCCTGTACCGGAATTCCCGGCATTCGATTCCTACCTATTCCGGAATTCCTGCCTATTCCTACCGATTCCGGAAAAGCCGGAATGAGCACGAATTCCGGAATTTCGCTACGGAATCGATTCGATTATTCAGGAAGATCATTTCTACATGAAGTATAACTTGTGCAATTCCGGAAAAGCCGGAATTCCTGCCCATTCCGGGTGATTCCGGAAAAGCCGGACTGTGCACGAATTCCGGAAT